GATGCTCCCCGGCCGCCATCCGCCGGCTCCGGTCTGGTTTTAATCCCCAGCGCTCAGTATTGCACCGCGCTTAACCGTAGAGTGTCACCGCCTTGCAGCTTCGTCAGAGACGCTGCCGGGTATGAACCGTCCAGAGAAAAACAGACCGAGCTGGTAGGAATCAGAGCCCGCGTGTGTCGGGGCGTGTTCGTGTGTGCGGAGGGAGTGTTTGGTTTGGCATTAGGTGTACGGATCCTGATCCGCGGGCTTGCCTGTGGGCCGCCTGCATGCAGCCCACGCACATCGGCTTCCACACAGACAGCACCGGCTCCCCAGCTCCAACCAAGAGTTTGTCACTTTTTTCGTTATTTTTTCCCCCCCTCTGAGATTCTTCTTTGCTTGTTTTGCTATGTTTTTAAATAGAGTCTGGAAGGTGCGGGCACCATAAATTAAATAAAACCTGAAAAGAAACAACGTGGTGACCGGAGTGCACAAAATATCAGCGAGTAAAATGTGTTGATGTCACTGGTATGTATGAACACTGTATAAAAGTTATTTTAATTGAAATGTTTGTAAGATATTTTTAGAAAAAGAAAATTAATTGAGCTTAGAATACAGAGCCTGCGTATATCGCAATGAAAGTGCGTAATTAGGAATAAGTAGGATGTTGCAGGAGATCGCCCAGAAATTAATGGCGTGTTGCAGCAGTCTTGTGGTGGAAAGGCGGCGATCGTGGTTCTCGCGCAGGTATCTCTTTATTCGGTTGGGAAAGCGGCGGATATTTCTGTTTCCTCCACAGAAAATTAAAAAAAAAGAAAAAATCCAACAACAACAAATTTTCTACGGCAGTTTTGTGGTTACTTCAGAAACGTGAGTTGCCCGTTCAGAATATCTGCCTGGTAAATTGTGGTGCTTCCTCCACCTAGTCCTGCGGTAAAGGGCGCCCCCCCCCCCCCCCCCCCCCCGCGCAAATGCCATCGTCCGAACGCGACGGCGCGCTGCGCAGGCAACGCTCGCAGGCGTTTGCTGAAGCCGGAATCCCTTTCGGCGTTGTGAGCTGACCCGCTTTGGGTATTTTTAAGGCAGGAGGCATCGAACTAGCGGGACCCGGATCCAGCCTTTAATGAAGTTAATCATGTAATTAAACAATGGAAGGAGCTGCGCGGCCGTAAAGCTTCCGATGC